AGCGCTTGGGCGCGAGTTCGAGTCGTTCCGCAAGCTCTGCCAGATTGCGAAGAAGCACAACGTCGTACGTTCATCGATTCTCCTTGCGTCGTGCACTTTGCTGACTGTTCGACTCCTCCAGTTCCTCTCCGTCGGCATCGTCGAGCGGTCCATCGTTGGCGCGACCTTGTTCTGCTCGAACATCCTGATCGACTCGAACGGCGTCCTCCTGTGTGCGTTGTGGTCTCCTCCATTGACAGCGTCTACGTCGTATGCATACTGATTCGTCCATCGCAGCCAAGCACCGCAAGCTGATGCCAACAGCCGCCGAGCGCGTCGTTTGGGGCACAAGCTCTGCGACGAACCAGCCCGCCTTCCTCGGGACAGACCACAAGCCAACCGACAATCTACCCGTCGTCTGGTGTCCCTCACTCGGCTTCCGTATCGGCGGCAACATCTGCTGGGAGAACTACTGCCCGCTGCAGCGGTACGCGCTGTACCGGAAGGGAGTGAGCCTCTACCTTGCGCCGACGGCCGATGCGAGGCCGACTTGGCTGCCGAGCATGCAGCATATCGCAATGGAGGGACGGACGTTCGTCGTCTCCGGTGCGTCTCAGAGTTCTTCCTCGCGTCCCTTGCTCACGCTTTCTTTTCACAGCCAACCAATTCCAGAAGGCCAGCGACTTCCCAGAGGACTACCCTGCTCGCGTCGCAGCAGGCGGAAAAGACGACGTCTGGTCTCGCGGCGGATCGTGCATCGTCTCGCCGCTGGGCGAGGTGCTTGCAGGACCGCTCTGGGACGGGGAGGGCGTCCTTTACGCCGACGTGCGTCGTTTCCTTTCTCTCTGATTTTCTCGAACTTTTGCTGAAGCCAGTCGTGCGCAGATTGACGCCGACGACATCCTCGGAGCCAAGCTGGACATGGACTGCGCAGGTGCGGGCCATTACGCTCGGGAGGATATCTTCAAGTTCGACGTCCGCGCGTAGATTCGCTAGACTCGCATCGTTCATCTCGCCTTATCGCCTTATCGGTGCATGGGTCTATGCTGTGCACTGCAGAGAGAGAGGGAGCTACTCGGCCTTCCCCTCCGCTCGCCGCCTCCCGGCCTGCTTGACCACGTCCTTCCTGTACTGGACGAACGCCGTCAAGTTCTCCATCGCCCCGTCTGCCCTCGCCCGCAACTCAGGAAACTTGTTCCGGTCAACCTTCTTGATCGCTGCCCGGACGCCTTGGACAGACCGGTCAAGGTCCTCGAGCATCTGGCCTTGGCGGAAGACAGGGACGTCGTACGAGCGGTCTTCGTCGGCGTAGAGGTCGATGAACGAGTCGATGGCTTGGAGAAGGATGTCGGGTGTTGATGCGACTGAGGGAGGAACGGTGCCGGTGACGACGGCGGCGCGGGAGGTCGGCAGGAGCGAGAGCATGAAACGGCCGATTTGCTGTGACACTCGACAAGTATGGATAGTCAGTGATTCGCTCGAGAGACGAGCGCCACTCCGCCAACGCGAGCTTGTCGACGCACCGCATTCTCCTGCTCCGGCACGTCCGCCCGTCGTCCAATCTCCCCGAGCGCACCGAGCGTCCGAACGCGGATCGCTTCGCCAGCCGGTGTCTGTGCAGCTGCGAAAGCGGAAGGATACACTCGCTGGATGAGGAACGGTGTCGTATCGGGACCGACAACCTGCGCGACGAAACGACTCAGCGGGTACGCGCAGGTGAGCCGAGGAAAGGATGCGCACGATGGAGTCCTTGCTCGACTCGGGACTCAAGCCCAGCCGCACGCAGCCCCAGACGACTCCCGAGCCAGCCATGACGATCTCCATCCTCCGCTCCTGGACCTCCTCGACCTCGTCTGGCTGCGCCTGCTGTTGCTGCTGAGCCTGCTTCTTCCCCTTCTTCCCGCTCGTCTCCTGCGCCTGCTGCGCAACAGCAGGAACATGCTTGTGCGCCGCCTCCAATGCGCCCATCACCAGCTCGAGCGACGTCTCGAACACCTTCTGCAGCTCCTTCGGGTTGCGCCTCAGGCGGTTCTTGTCAGCCGCCTTCTTGGCCTTCTCGAACGCGCGGGAGAGGGTGATGTAGAGGTTGTTGAGTGCTTCGAGGGCCCGGACGTGGATGGTCGTGATCGCTTCGGAGAGGGTCGACAGCGAGGAAGGGACGAGAAAGGCATCTGAGGCGGAGGTGCTGATGAGGCCGTTCGACGAGGCGGGCTTGTCGAGGTCGTGAGGGGCGAAAGCGGGAGGGGAGAGGAAAGAGAGAGCGGTGGTGGGGCGGGCGAGGGCGAGAAGCTGGAGGGGAAGCGAGTCGCCGAGAAGAGCGAGCGCTTTGCTCGAGCCATTCTCATCCGCTGCGTCTCGCTCGTCGTCCGAGTCGGCCGTCGCCTCCAAGTCGTCCAGCATCGCGTCCGCGCCGCCCTCGACAGGCGTGTCCCCCCGCCTTCGTCTGATGATCCCATCCGCTTCTTCTTTCTTCTCGCCCGCACCAACCATGCCCTCATCCTCATCCTCGTCCGATCCCATCTCCACGTCCCCCTCGACATCCATCGAAATCCCGCCCCACTCCTCGTCCTCCGCCTCGTCCTGCTCGTCCTCGTCGCCTGCACCCTGACTCGCACCAAAAGACGACGAGTCTGGTACGCCTGAGGCGAGCCATTCACTGAGGACTTCGAGGGCGAGCTGGAGCGTCTGTGACTGGCGTTCGAGGGATGCGAGGCGGGAGGAGGGAGATGAGGGGTCGGGTTTCGCAGATGGGAGAGCGGTCGGGTCCTGCGACAAAGATTCGTCAGCTTCGCTCATAAGGACACAGGGCAAGGGAGAGACTCACGATCTCGCTGGCGACCTTCTTTGCCTCCTCCACAGCCGCATCAAGGTTCGCCTCTTTCACGAGCCCGAGCAGTACCTCCTGCGCCTCGTCGCTCCTCAGCGCAGCCCTGACAGCCTCGACGTCTCGCCGCTTACTCCGGCCCTTGGCGATCTCGAGCACCGTTCCGAAAGCGAGGACTCGCAGTTGAGCCCAGTCGTCCGACTCAGCCGGGACAGGGGAAGTAGGCGTGAGCAGGATGGAGAGGAGGGAGGCAAGCGCAGGGGAGAAAGAGAACGAAGTCGAGGAGGAGAGGAGGTGAGTGTGCGCGGGGTGATTGTCGGAGACGAAGGCGTAGAGTGCTTGTGCGGCTGCGACGACGACGAAGAGCGGGACTCGGACCTTCTTCGCCTGCTCCTTCTTGACGTCCTTCTTTTTCGGCTTCTTCGATTCAACTTCCATTGCTCCGCGTCCGCCCTGCTCGTCCGCCAGCTCTGCAACCTGCGCATTTCGCTCGATTCCCAACGCCGACTCGGCAAGGTATCCCATGCACAAGCCGACAATCCCTTGCGCGTGTGCATTAAGCGAGCCAAGAATCTTGGTGTTACTCTCGGCGAGGCACCAAAGCAAGACGCAGACGTTCTCGCTCCAGTCCCAGAAGGACCGGCGGAGAGTATCTTGCGCCTCGTTGGCGTCTTCGACCGCTCGTCGCTGTTCAGGCGTCGCAGGGAACGAGGGTTTCTGAGGCTGCGGCGCGGGACCGAGTTGCGAGGGGAGGAAGTGCGCGAGGAGGGGAATGTGGATGGTCGTGAGAGGGAGGAGGAGGCGCTTGTTGTGCATTTCTGAGAGGATGTGAGGGGGAGACGAGACGGCGAGGTTGCGGAGTGCACCGAGTGATTCAATGGCGGTCGTCAGGTCATAGTAAGGGGGAGGTGGCGAGGTGGCGGAGGGTGTAGGGAGGGCAGAGACACGCTCAATGAGCAGACCGATGAGGTTGCGCGAGAGCAAGAGGCGGAGTTGGAGAGGAGGCAGGGTGAGGATGAGCGACGAGATGGTGGACTGCGGGCGGGAACGGTGTTCAGTGTCTCCTCTTTAGGCTTTTAGCTGTGCATTCCTGCCATCTTGGCTAGCCCTACGCGCAGCGTGAGCACAAAGAACGGACTGAAACGCACCGCAGCGAACGCCCTCTCCCTTCCCTCTGAGCTCCTGAGCTTGTCCAGCAGTTCGCCCATCTCCTGATCCCTCCTCGCGCCCTTCTTCAAGCCCTGCTGTCCCGCTGCCTCGCCGTCAGCTGTGTTCGCCGTCGACGAAGTGGGGTCGCCTTGTGCTGTGGGAGCGGTCAGAGGCGCAGAAGCGGCCGCGACGCGCGCGTCCCTGGTGCGTTTGCGGTGTCGCACTTTGCCCATCGTGTCAGTCTGGCCTGGCAAGCGGTGAGAACGAGCAGAGTGACAAGTCGAGGGTGAACGAACGAACGAATGCAACGACCAAAGCTCGACGGGAACACCACCTCGCAACGGCTCGTACTGGCTTGTGACTGGCTTGCTTGGCCGTTGTGCTTCCTCTGAAGCCCTACGAGCTTGCCCGTCTTCGAACGAGCTCGCCAGCGCCGCTCAGTCCGCCTCGATACCCTCCCGAGCGGCGTCGGGATCCTCTCACTCGCCAACACCACGCTCGAGGGACGTGTAGACAGCTTCAGGGCCTCATACAGAGCCGTATCGGGCACACAGGCTTGTAAACGCAGCCCGCGACCCGCCGTGGACGTTCAAACACCCTCCTTCCCCCACCTCCATTCCGACAGCGTCTCTTGCGACCATGGCAGCACCAGGAGACTCGCTCGCAGCGGACCTGTCCTCTACAGCAACGATAGTACCACCGGCACCCCCGTTTCGAGCAGCGAAGCTCCCGCCTCTACCACTCTACACCACCTCGACCTCGCGACCCTTCTCTCGCTCGGCTCTCAAGCGGCAGAGCGTGATGGCGTTGCCGAGTATTCAACATCTCCAACACGGCTTCGCGAAGCTCGGGCTGAAAGAGGCTAAGAAGCGAGGTGTGGAGGGTTCGCAAAGGAGAGGTGGCAAAACAGGCGAGGACAAGGAGAACGAAGGACGATTGGGTGGTCCCGCTGGAACAGTAGAGGACGAGGAGGGCGAGGAGGGCGAGGAGGCACTAGAGGGAGTGCTTGGGCCGGAACCGCCGAGACCTGAGGTTGACTTGCGGATGCCGTGGGAGAAGGAGGGCGTTGAGGCGTCGTTGCGAGATACGAAGGAAATACGGCGAGAAGTGGTAGAGGCGCTGGACGTTGTGTGCGAGACGTGCGCTCCATCTGCCTTCGTTCCGACTCTGGCTGCCTCGACACAGCTGACGACCTTCGCAAACTTCGCTTGCGCCTCTTCAGATGGGGTCTCACTGCGCCAGCTTCTAGGGTATCTACCCCGTCGGACACACTCGACAAAATTCCGCACGCGCCGCGAGAAGCTTCAGCCTTCTCCTCCACATCGTCCGCTTCGACTTCCTCACGAACCGACAATTCAGACTCGGCTCCGCTCTCCTCTCTCACTTCCGCCTCCTCCACGAGCGACTCGCCAGTCCCACTCGTTCTCACGCTGCTCACCTTGACAACTGGCGCCATCCGCACAACGCAACAATTCGTCCTCTTTTTGCCTTCCACCTCAGTCTCCTCCTCCTTGTCCGCCCCCTTATCGACGGACCCGCCGCAGATCTCGACGGCCTCTCGACCACGCACATCCCTCGCCTCCCCGTTCGCAACCGCAGCAGCTATGTCCCGCTCCTCTTCGTCCGGCTCGAACCAGGGAAACACGGCGGCTGTCGAGGGAGACGAGCGAGCGACGTTGCTTGCTGCGCTGCGCAGGAAGAGTCTGGAGGTACTCGGGTTACTGAAGGAAATGGAAGGGCGGTATCGACTGCCTGAGACGCCCCAGCGGTTCTTGGCGGACGAGACAGAGGGAATGGTCGAATCGCCGCTCGAGACGGAGGCACCTGCTTTCCCTGAAGCCGCCGGCGTCAAAGCGGAGATCGAGGACGAGCCGATGTACCGGTCGGATGTTACGCTTTCCGCGCTCGTGGCAGAACAAGAAGTCGTGCGGGAATGGGTGGAGGTTGTGAAGCGAGTGTTGGAACAGACGGCGGAAACGGGAGGGACGAGAAGGAAGAGCGGAGCGGGTAACGCTGAAATGCTGGCGGACGTGCCGGACTGGGCGAAGAAGGTCGGATGGGAAGACTCGCTCGGTGCGTCCGGACGCCTTCGTCGCCACTCGTGGACAGTAACAGCTGACTCCTTTGTGTCCGCTTCTCCAGCGCGAGCTCACGCTGTCATCGTCGCGCACCTCTCGCCGGAGCAGACGTCGTCTCTGCCTGATCCAGCGAACGACCGGACAGGCTTCCTTGACGCACTCTCGTACGCTCTTCCGCCTCTTCTGACGTCTTTAAGCGCTCATTGATACGACTTGCATAGCGACGGCTACCTCCTCTGCCTCGCCTACAACGCCGCCCTCCGCCTCTCCTCCCCCCATCCCTTCGGCTTCATCACGTGCGCCTCGATTCACCCGCTTCCTCCAACTTCGACTTTGAGCTCCTCAGTCGAGATGTCCCGAGCCGCATCGAATGCGAGCGACGGCGGAGCAGGAGGCGAGAAGATTGGGCAGACGTTCAGGAGGGCGGAGAATCTGCGGTTGTGGGCTGGGTGCATGACGCTTCTCGCGTCTGTTTCTCCGTCAGCGATAGTACTGACCGTGTGATGTTTTGACAGCGCCCTCAAGCACCGCTACAACCTCGCTCTCGCCGGACCGCCGCAGTTCGATCCGAAAGTCGCCGCTGCAAGAAGGGAGGAAGGATGGCGAGATGGGCTTGAGCAGGCGGTAGGTGAATGGGCGGAAGTTGTAGCGATGGAGCTGAGAGGGGAGGATGCTGATTCGAGGCAAGCTGGTGCAGCGGATCAGGCTAAGGCGTAGAAGGGCAGGCAGGCGCCGGTCACGACAATGCAATGACTTCGCCCGCCCAGCCTCGTTCTGCGCTTTTACGTGCGACCACAAGTACTTCGCCTTCGCCGTTCTCCGCTCGCACCACCACCTTACCCTCCTCATCCCAAACCGCACTTCCTCCTTTAGTCTCGTACCCTCCCGTCCCTCGCCCATCCGCATGATTCGCCAGCAGGACTGCCATTCCATAATGCTTCGCATACGACGCTAATCGTGCAGATTCGGCGCCGTACGACGCGGAGGAGATGATGGATCCGGCGGCGTAGACTGTCGCGCCTGCTTGAGAGGCGGACAGCGGGTGGAGCGGACAGGAAGTGTCGGCGCAGATGGCGAGAGCGACGCGTTCGGTATGCTCAGACGCAGACGGGAAGTCGAGCAGAGGACCGCCTGTTCTGGGAACGAAGGAGGCGATTTCGGAGGAATCGAGGAAGCGTTTCGTGTGCGCGTGTCGGGATCCGCCGGGATGTAGGACAATACTGGCGATGTGGGTGCCGTCAATCGTGTCGGCAAGCATTGGCACGCCAACACAAGCTGTTACGCCTGTCTCCTGGCAAGCCCCGTGCAGCTCGTCCAGCCGTGCGTCATCGACCGTGAAGATAGCCTCTTTGGAGAGCTTGAGGGAGTAACCCGTCACGCTCAACTCGGGGAAGACGAGTAGCTGAACGTCGTTCTCGGCGGCGAGGCGGACGAAGTGAAGGTGAGTCGCGAGATTATCGGCGACGGAGGGAAAGGGAGAGACCGAAAGCTGGGCCGCTGCGACCACGAAGGGCTTGAGCATGTCTGAGGCGCACAGAAGCATGAGTCGTCAGCAACGTACGCCGGATTGCAGCGCGAAGAGGCGGCGTGCGAGCGAGTCAAGGTGCAGTCTGGACGAGGAGAAAGCGGGGCGAAGAAACGCACTCGTGCAGCGCTCGATCAGTACAAGGCAGAGCGTCCTCTGTACTGTCCTCCTCCTCGCCGTGCAGGCGGCTGTGGTCGAAGGTGGAGAGGAGAGGCAGACGACGAGACCAACGGCTGGATCTGCCGTCCTCACGCCCATCGCGGTTCTGCTGGTCTGCTGGCCCGCTAGTCTCGATTCGCACTTGCTATAGCGCCTCATCGTCGCCGCGAATCGCCGAAGGAACTCGCTGTCGCCGCTCGCTCGCCTCATCATCGCGAAATGACGGGAACAAGCTGCGCGACAACGCCGCTCGGGACCTGGCTGGCTGCGTTAGGCGGCTCTTACCATCCAGCATTGAAAGCTCGACCAGGTGCGCTGTCTTCTGCACCTGCCTCGGACGCGCTAGCTGACCAACTTGATTTCCAGATCTCTTTGGTACCTCTGTCTACGCTGGCGAGACGCTCGAGAAGGGCTGCAAGGCAGTCTGCTGCCCTTTCTCACTCGCCATAACACCCAAACAAGCGAGACGATGCATTCCCGACACTCTCTCCCCCTCCTCTCCCTCCTCCTCCCGCCCGAAACGCCTTCCAGACCACGAGATCATGACGCTCTACCTTTGCCTTCACCTCCTGCCAAAGTCTGTCGTCGACCAGGTGCCGGACCTCGACCTCCAACACCAGCCTTACGTCGACTTCCTACCAAAATCCGAAGCGATGCGGACACCCCTCTACTTCACACCGGCAGAACGGGAGTTGCTGCGAGGGACGAACTTGTATGGCGCGGCGCAGGAGCGCGAGGACGACTGGAAGGCCGAGTGGCGGGAAGTGACGAGCTGGGTGACCGACGAGGAGGTGCGGCGGGAGCTGACTTGGGAAAGATGGCTGTGGGCCTGCACGATACTCTCGTGAGTTCCGCTCTGTCGTCTTCCGTCGAGAAGCTATGCGCTGACTTTGGCACGACAGCTCTCGAGCCTTCTCGTCCGACCTCATCGACGGCGACAAGGACAACTCGACACCCGTCCTCTTCCCCGGCGTCGACCTGCTCAACCACCGGCCAGACGCTCGAGTGACATGGTTCAGCGACATGGACACGGAGAACGAGCGGGCGGACGGCCGCGCAGTTGGGAAGGGAAGCTTGACGATCGTGCTGGACGAGGAGATCCCGGCAGGTTTGCCCAAGTTTCTCTGCTTCTCTCGACCGAGCGAAGTTGACGAATGCGGTCTGCAGGCGCGCAAGTTTACAATACGTACGGCGCCAAGGCGAATGAGGAGCTCCTCCTCGGCTACGGCTTCGTCCTCCCGTCGAACCGAGCCGACTTCCTCACTCTCAAGCTCAGCATGCCACCCAACGCCTCTCCTTCGCTTCTCTCGCTCTGGGATACTCTCAAGCTCACCGACACGCGCCACTACGTCCCGCGAAGCGGCGTCCTTCCTGATGAGCTTCTCGCGCAGATGCGGCTGCTACTCGCGCAGCCTGGCGAGGTTGAGGACATCCAAGAGCGACTACGGAAGGGCGCGAGCGGCTGGAGTGAGGCGCTCGACTTCGTCAGCTGGGAGAATGAGCTCGACATGCTGGACATGCTCGGGGCTATGCTGGACAGCAAGGCGCAGGCTTTGACGGCGGGAGTTGAGGCTGTAACGGGCGATGACATACGGACGGAGATTAGCGGGATGGTGGGGATCTACCGACGAGGTGCGCTGGCAAACTCGCTCGTGTCCTCCCTCGCCCTCAGCTAACTTCTCCCACCGCTTGTTCAGGGCAAGTCGACGTGATCCAGGCTGCTATAGAGTATCACGAGCAGCTGTTTGACGAGACGAGGCGGAAGGCGGAGGAAGCTGGCATCCCGTTCGACGAGGACGACATGGAGAATCTAGACGACGAGGACGAGGATCACTAGAACACGCCCATGCAGCTCATCAGACATCGCTACATCGTATTGCAGAAACAGGACAATCTAACGAAGAGGGAGGGTTTGCGAGTGCGAGTGCGAGTACGAGCGCGAGTCTACGACGAGAAATGCGAGGGGTAGGAGTCCTGCTCCGCCGCAGGATATGCCTGGGCTGGGGAAGCGTACGCCTGCGCGCCATCCGGGGACGAAGGGAAATGAGGAACGGGGGCTGGAGCATGCGAGACGCCATCGAGGTGCTCGTTGAGGACGTGTGCGGGTTGGAAAGTCCACATTGGCGGTTCCAGGGCGATGTAGAACGGTAGCGAGGCTGTCGAGGACGTGAAAGGTGGTGCACGAGCGTAAGGATCGAGCGGTGGTAGGGGTTGGGAAGAGGGAAGCTGCGGCGGAAGTTGCGAGGGCGGCGAGATAGAGGGCGAGTCGGAGTGTTGACGAGGTGGCATGAGCATGTTGTGAGTCCGATTGAACGTCCACGCGGCGACTTGGGTGAGAGGAATGGTGGGTGTGTTCGGGTCGTCGCCGTAAGGAAGGGGAGCGTCGACGACTCGTTGCAACGAGACGATCTCTAGCTCGATTTTCTCGAGTACCGACGTCACGGCTGGCGACGGATAGGCGAGCGAGATGTTCCGCAGCGCGTCGCGCAAGCTGCGAGGAAACGGGATGTGAGTAGGCGCCACTCGAAAGGTCTGCGTCTTCAGAACGCACAAGAACAGCGATGCGAGCTTGTCGGCAGCGCCCTGCGGATGCAGGTTGACGTCCCACGTCGGCGTTGCAACAAAGATATCCGCCAAGAGAACCACCCGCGAGACCGAGTAGAACGTGGAGGCGAAGAGGGCAAGGTGATTTCTCGAGGCGCAGGTCTGTTGAAAGGATCGGGAAAGTCAGTGGAGAGTGCCGAACACGCGTGAAGGTCGAACGCGTACCCTGGCACCACGCAGGTAGCGACAAACGCCCGAGTTTGCGCGCTTGCGAGCCGAGTCTGCGATGGGCATGACCGCCCGGTCTTGGTCGCCCGCGGCGCCTTCGGCAGCTCGCAGGATTGCGAGTTCGCTGAAGACGGTGAGGGCGGCGATCAGGCCGGTGTACAACTGCGAAGCAACAGTTAGCCTGTGCACATTCGAGTGAGTGCTGTTGGACGCACCTCGAGGAGCGCTCGGCAGAACGGTTTGGTGATGGTCGCCTGCTCCTTTCCAAACGCGACAGCGCTATCCACCCAAAGATAAATCTTGTCCATCTCGAGCCATTCCGCCTCGCAGATGCGCAGGGCGCCGAAATTGCCGAGCGCGAGATCTTCGAACGCGTAGGCGAGTCGCCGGACGGAGAAGCATGCAATGGCGAGGACGGGGGCGACACATTGCGACAAGTCCCACGGATCGGACGAATCGAGCGCTCGGCTGAGCTGGTCGAGGGAAGGGAGGAGCATGTCGGCGAGAGGTGCGGTCATTCGGGCGATCCGTGAGAAGAACTTGAACCGAAACGATCTGTCTCGAGTTTGAGGTGAGCCCAGGAAGAGTCAAAACGCCTTGGACGAACGCACAAGATTGGCGCCGAACTCGTCTCGAGCGCAACGACGGCGTCTGTCAACGCTATCGCCCAAGTCGTGGTATCGTCGTCTAGCTCAGGCTGATCGAGATCGCGCATCGCCTTGACCTGGTTGGCTGCCGCAAAAAGGTATGGCTGGGCTGCCGAAGTCCCCAATTCCCCGTTCGCCATCAACTGCCACAGCAAGAGGAGCGCGACCGGATTCGAATTGTTGATCGTTCGCCATAAGCCTTGCGAGTCGGCCAACCGGACAGCCAGTTGCAGCGCTTGATCGGCACAAGTATCTCGCGTCGCTTCAGTCCCCTTCGAGGGTCGCAAGAATCGGGAGGCGGCGGCAGCAACGATGCGGAGCATAAGCTGCGAGCGAACGAGAGAGAGTCAGCTTGGCGCGCTCATTGCGCTCATGGACGCATACTCGCCTGATCAGCCGATTCTAGCCTTCTGATGTCCTGGTCACTGGTGAAGGCAGTCGGTTTCAGCGCTGGGCAACCTCGTCGCGGCCAAGCGGGGCGGACTGACCTTGACTCGAAGCGATGCCGTGAGTCGTAGTAGTTGAACAACGGCCACGGGTAAAGAGGGTATTTTGCGGCGCCGCCGATGCGGTCGTACAGGTCGAGGACGTCGAGCCGGAGCGTCTCAACCTGCAGATCATTCGCCAGGTGCGCCTCGGCGTCGCTGTAGGTGGGTGGCGTAGAACGGCGTGTTGTTGGAGGCGTCGAAGGCGTGGCGATGTCTGTCGAGCCGTAGATCTCTTTCGCCGCTTCAATCCGTCGCCCGCTGCGAACACGAGGATCTGCGAAGCGACGACCAGTCAGTCGATGCGGTCCGCGCTCCCGACGAGCTATACGCACTCGTCTGTCGCGCCGTCGTCGTGCACTGGATGCCTGCGGATTGAAGGCGATGAGCGCGACGGTTCGTGGACTGAAGTTAGGAGACGCACCCTTTCGCAGGCAGGCATCGCACGACCTCACCGCCTGTCCAGCTTCGTCCGTCTGGCGCCCTCTGCAAGCGACTCGTCGTAACCGGCAGCCATCGCAACTCGAGGGGAGTGGGCCGCGCGCGCCCTTTGTGATAGCAGGAACGAACGGACGCTTGGAGGGCGCGGTCGACATCGGAGTCCCTCGACGCGGGGCGGTAACGGCAGCAACGAGCTGGATGCGCTTGATTGGTATGGGAGGTCTGGTTCGGCGGGCAAGACGAGTTCGAGGAAGTCTAGTGTGGGGAGGCGAGGCGAGGCGAGAATTGTCGAGGCGAGGAGTTCAAGATGCGGCGGCGAGCGCTGTGCTGACTTAGCGTGTCCGATCGAGCGGTCGAGCGAGCTGAGCGCAGATTAGCTGGCAGGCGAAGTTGACAGTCGGCACGGCAGGGTGGCTTGACGGGGACGAGGCAACGGGAGCTTCGAAGTCGTTCAGCCGGCTGGCGCGTCGTCGAGCGAAGCAGTTCAGCTGTATGCTCTGTAGCAGGCAGAGCCAGACCGGCTTGGTCGCGCAAGAACCCTTTCCCAATCCATACCCCCGAGAAAGCCTCCGTCTCCGCAAGGACAAACCAATTCCTCGCAGGGGCCTCGCTCCTGCCTCCTGGTGTTCCAGAACGTGCTGAATTGCACGCAGGCGGTGTCCTCAAGCCGCCGCCGGCGAGTGCTATGTCCGTCGTCCACCATCTGTTCGCCAAACTGATGAAAAAGCGCACCGAGTGAAGGAGCGTGTCAGGCGGTGCGTCGGGCGCGTCGGTGCATGTGTAGAGCAGTCTATGACAGCATCAAGGCAGCGCAGCGTCCTCCCAAGCGTTGATGGCAGAGGCAGCCGGCCGTTTCGGTCGAACTCCCCTCTTCGCCTTCTTCCACTCGCCGCTACTCCCGCTACATCGCCCATCGAGATGTCTGGACCGCCCGATCAGTGCTCCGTGTGCGAGAGCACCTCCATACAGGCGTGCTCGGGCTGTAGGACGGCTGTGGCGAGGTTCTGCGACGAGAAGTGTCAAAAAACGGTGTGTGTGTCCCGCCGCATCTGACGGGGCTTGGAAGCTGATCAGACTCGCTCGTACCGTGCAAATCTGGCCGACGCACAAGTACTTCTGCCGACTTGCCCGCGTGACACCCAATCCTCCGCCATTCTCCTTCCCGCCCTTGACGACCGAAGAAGCAGCCTTCTTCCTCCCTCGTTCTACCGATCTTCAAGTCCCGTATACTCGCAGCTGGCGGACGGAGGAGACGCATTCGTGGATCGACCTCTTTGTCGAGAATGGCTGGTGGCCGCACGACGGAGCGGATGCCATGGTGCGTCTTGCTTCAGTCTCGCTCGCTCTTGCCTCGATGTTGATGCTCAGAATCGCAGTCCATGTGCCTAGCCGAGCTGCAGAAGCCGCCATTGACTTGCGCGATTCCCGAACCCGGCCGCTCACTCGCCTTGATGGAGCTGAAGGGCCTCTATGGCGTGCATCACAGCATGCTCGCGACTTTCGCAGCCTCGCCCTGGACTCTCGCGGGCGGCGACTGCTCGTCCGTAATCCGTCAGCTGTACCGGTACTATAGGCATAAGGGCGAAGAGCCGCCCGACGACCTCATCGCGCGCATCTCGCCGCTCCTCCACCAGGACGTCATCTTCCACACCATCGCCGTCGACCAGTGGATCTCTCCGGAAATGGAGAGGCTGGCTGCGCGGCGGATGGCGGATTGGGTCGAGCAGTTTGAGGAGGAGGAAGGCTTCAAGGAGTGCTTGCGATTCCTCACGCAGGTCTGTACGCGTACGGCATCGGGCGTCGAGCAGTGCGTCGTCTCCTGAAACGCGGGCCGCTTCGCATCTCTTCCAGGCGAGTCGCGAAAGTCTCAGCGAGTTGCCTCTCGGAAGCGGACGGGAATGAGGCGGCGAGCTGGCACACTCAAAGGTCTTTTCTAATGCCACAACAAATATGCAAATGTCTAGAAAGGCTAATGCTGAATGCGAGGGAATAAGGGCTGATACACGGGCGGAAATGTATGATATGGATCGACGAGGCTTCACCAGTCGTCGCGACCGACGGCAGCGGAGACTGCAGACGTCAGGTCTGCAGAGCGAAGAGCGTTAGCTCAGGCGCGTGAGGGAAGGAACGGAAGGAACGCACCGAGGTGGAAGCGGGGGAAGGAAGTGGACAAGACTGGTTGCTCGAGGTTCGGCTCCTCGTGGCCTGGCACCTCGTGTCCCCAGACCGATCCTCCGAGGTGCATGCCCTGCCGCTCGACCTCTCCGAGCGCCGCCTCAAGATCCTCGTGCCTCACTCCCTCTCCCTCCTCCCTCGCCTCACGGACATTCCCCTCCTCCTTCTCGTCCGCAAGTTTCTGCGGCGTGCCCGGCAACGGACTGCCAGGGAAGAACCGACGCTGGAAGTGCATGCGCTGCAACCGCTTCGCGTGCTCGGTCATGACGGGCTCCATGCCGGCTTGCACAACGGGAGCGATCTCGAGCGGTCGCTCGGGTCCTGACCAGCCTTTGCCGGTACCGAAACCGCCGGCGAGGAGGGCGCTGCAAATGCGAGCTCGTCAGCTCCTTGCTAAGGAGAAAGGAAGGACTGGAAACACACCGCTTGATGAACGGGCTGAGAATGGTCGCAAAGTGGAACTGGACCTGGTCGCCCGCATAACGTTCCAGCGTGCGTTTCAAGTCGACCAAGTTCTGCACGCTCGTAGTGTCGATGTTGGAGCAGGACGACATGTCGAAGACGACGGCGCGGAGGATGGGCTTGTCTTGCGCGGCTTGTTCTTCGGGAGTCGAGGCGGCCTTGCGCTTTCGCCAGGGAAGCGGGCCGGGGTTGTTCCATGGTCGGTCACCAGCCCTGACGTTGTCGAGCTGGTCGCCAGGCCGGGTGTGCTTGTGCGCGTGCTCGACGATCATGTCGGCATCTGCAAAGGTCGAGCGTCAGCATCTATCTACCCGCTCAGGACGAGACTCGCACACACAGTAAGCAGCGTTCGGGTACAAGAATGACTCCTCGAAGCGGAAGACGATGACGCCAGGCGGAGGCGCCTCGACCTGTACGAGCGGGTTGCGCACGCCATCGGGGAGGAGCGGGAGGTAGACGTCCCTCCCAGGCAAGCGCGGGTACGGGCTAAGCGTGCCGGACGACGTTCCTTCTTCCTGCTCGTCGCGGGACGGCGAAACCTGGACGTCCGGACGGATCTTGACGCGGCCGAGGAAGGCGCCTCGAGGACGTGCGATGCGGAAGAGGAGGAGCGCGACGGATGCGCCGACCGAGGTGTAGATGCCGATTTCGATGGTTGCGAACATTGAGACGAGGACGGCGATGAAGAAGATGACGGCTTCGAGAGGGGAGACTTTCCAGAAGGCGTAGACCTGCTTCGGCGAGGCGATGAGGTCGAGGACGGCGTGGACTGCGCCGAGAGCGAGGTTAGCTACAGGGGCTAGAGATAGAAGCACGACAAGGTGAACGCACTGATGACGGCGGAGAGGGCAGCCGAGGGAATCCAGTAGAAGGCGGAGGTGAGAGCGTAGAGGGCGACGACAACGCAGACGCCCTGTGCGGCGAGTATGCGTCAATTGAACACGTCTCAAAGGAAGTTGAGCCAACGAAACCGCGCCAACTCACCGTGAACCAACCCGCCAACGGCGTCCTCACACCCGCCTTCGCCTTGATCGCCGAGCGCGAGAACGATCCCGTCGCCGGGTAGGCGTTGAAGACCGTTCCGACGAGGTTCGACACGCCGATGGCGATGAGTTCCTGGTTGGGATCGATCTTGTAGTTGTTGACGCGGCCGAAGGATTTGGCGATGGCGATGTGTTCGAGGAGAAGGATGCTGCGCTCGAGATGGCGGGTCAGCTCGAAGTCAGTGCTGAAAAGGAGCAAGGGAAGGCGCACATGGTCGAGACGGGGAGCTGAGGCGCGATCTTGGAGAGAAGGTCGGTCGGGAGCTTGGGCTGACCCATGTGCTTGAAGCCAGACGGGACGTCCTTGAGCACGGCGATGGGGAAGTGTTTCGGGTCTTTGTGTCGGAGGAACGCCCACGAGGCGACCGTGAGAATGACAATCACGAAGGCCGTCCGAAGCGTGAGCGCAAAGAACGCGATGCGCTTGACGATAGGGTTCCTCGCGCGCCGCTCGGTCTGTTGGAGGACGTATCGGACGATATAGAGGAACGCGAGGCCCGAGAGACCGAATGCGGCGTCGAGTCTCGTGTCGGGCAAGTGCTTGAGCGAATTGATGATCACTTTGTACGTCTCTGCGCGCGTGTTGAGCTTGGAGGAGTATCCCATCAGGGCGGGGAACTGCCCGACCGCGATGTTGAGCGCCGAGCCGGTCATGAAGGCGCTGATGGCGGGCGAGGGGATGAACTGCCGAGTCCGCACTTCTCCTCAGTTCTGCAGCTCGTCGTCCGTTCTTGTTCGGGACGCACCTCAATCAACCACCCAATCCTCAGCATCCCGATACCAAGCACGATCAATCCACACAGAAACGCCAACGCCGTCGCGATCTCGGGCGCGGAATACATCGCCCCTCCGCTCGAAGACTGGACGTGCGAGATGACGCGCGCAACTTCAAGCGACATGACTGCCACGGGACCGATGGTGACGTCTTTCGAGGTCGCGAAGAGGGCGTAGATCATTACTCTGCGCATAGAGGAGGGTGAGCGGGAGAGGAGGGAGAGGAGGGAGGGGAGACGGACCCGACGAAGGACGAGTAGAGACCGTATTCGAGAGGTAGTGTCGCGATGCGTGCGTAGGACTGTGAGTGATAGCGAGTCAGCGTTCGCCAGATCTAGTTCGACCGCTTCGAGACGAGCGAAGGAGGACGTCTTCCTCGCTCGCCTCGTCCGGTTCGTCGTGCAGACTGGCTGTGAAAGTGGACGTACCATCGCCTGCGGCACGAGGACCAACCCCACCGTGATTCCCGCAATCAAGTCCCCAAGCAGCCATCGCAAGTTGTAATGCAAGATCCACTGCGGTCACCAAACCAGACCTATCAGCTCCTCCTCCTTTTCCTCGCACAGAAGGGACGACACGTACGTTGGTAAACGGAAACAACCTATGCAAATAAGCTCCCGCCGCTTTCGCCGGACTAGTCCCCCTCACGGCTCTCTTGATCCGGTCGCTGACGGGCGCTGCATCGACAACTTGAGGGTCGTAGTCGATCCAGTGGAGGAGGGAGTGTTTGGTGCGTTGGAGGCGGGAGGGTCTGGGAGGAGCTGGGGGAGGTGCGGGAGGAGGAGAGGTGGAGGAGGTGGTGGTGGTGGAAGGGGCAGCCATCGTTGGCGGAGTCGCCTCGAGTGGCTCGGCGTGGATCAGGGTCGACAGAAGTGTTGGAACAGGACGACGAAGGGCGAGGGAGAGTTGCTGAGTGTGTGAGGCGAGCGAGAAGGTCACTTGGCGTTGGCGTGTGGTCCGTCGTCTGAGCCTGTCTGGTTCCCTCTGTAGCAGCCACACGAACACTCAAGTCGTACTCAGCGAGCGGCAGAAGGTCGAGCAGCCACAAACGCTCGTCCGCCGGCGTCTCGCTCGGACTTCGCAAGCACGCAATTGATGAAAACAGGGGACCAGTTGATAATCCGCAGTCGTCAGTACTGCTGAGTAAGCGAGCCTAAGCGAGGGTTGCCGCCAAAGGGCGAGTTAGGAAGGTCAAGGTGGACGAGGGCGAGTCGTTCTCTGGAAGCTGCTGTGGCTTTTTCAAAAGAGAAGCACTTCATTTGCCAGTCATGGATCAAGCCTAGATACACCGCCCTCACCCGCCTTCCACCCACTCCGCCTCGCCCGCTCACTCGAGACTACTCTCTCCCCTCTGAACCGCCTCCCTGATCGCCTCCTCCACCGGCTCGTCCGTCTCCTTCCCCTGGATGAGGTCGATTGCGAGTCCTGCAGCTTTCGGAGCGGAGGAAGAAGAGGGCGAGAGGGCGAGGTTGAAGAGTGCGAGGAGGGACGAGGCGACGTCTGCGCGCTATTGCGGCCACGCCACGCCATATCCGCACGGTCAGCAGCCTACTCCAACCAGCTTGTAGTGGGAGAAGGACAGGGAGGCAGAGCGAGGCGGAACGCACAGTCACCCCTCCCATCCCCGTCTTGCCAGCCGTCACCCACCCCGTGGGCTCGTCGTCCAACAAGTGTCCAGGGCGGAGGATCGTCCAGGGAAACGTGGTGCGGCGCGAGAGGTTCTGGTCTGCGGCGAGCTTGGCGCTGCGCGAGGGAAGGGTTAGGGCACGAAGAGGGAGGAGAGAGGGAAGGACAAACTCGTAGTATGCGCCGATGGCTTCGTGAGCTTTCTTCGATCCGTCGATGTCCTCGTGAGTCTGCGAGCGCCACAGAGTCGACGCATCAGTCTCGATGCGGAAGAGCAGCCCTCTCTCGACCGACTGAAAGCGAAAACAAGCGCGCAACGCACGTAGTGAGCGGGCGGCGGCTTGCTCGTGTCGCGGGTGTCGAGTGCGCCGATGAGGACGAGGTAGGGCTTTGGACCGTTCAGCTGCTCGATGGCGTCGAAGACCTGGCATAGGAGAGCGTCAGCAAGCGATTCCCTCCTTTGCTGGGAGGTTCTGCGCCTCGTTCGTCGCCAAGAGGACGAGAGTGCATCAAAAACGACGTCAGAACGGCACACACCTTGATCGCGCCCTCCTCGTCGACTTTCCTCGTCCTGTCCTTTCCACCCTTCCCTCCTGCTCCCGCAGCGAAGAGCACACCCCTCGCGCCCTCAAACTCGCTCTTGAGATCGCCCACCGTTGCATCCTCGATACTGAGCAGCCTGGGCGTGCCACCGGCGTCCTGGATGGCGCCGAAGTGGGACTCGTTGCGGACGAGGGACGAGACGGTGTAAGACGAGCGGGCGAGGTGGGTGAAGCGCAGGGCGACTTTGCCGCTGCCTCCGACGACGACGATGCGAGGGTGTGCCATGCTCAGTGAACTGTCCAGGTGCAAGGAGCGTCCCCTGCTGGCCGACCCTCGTCCTCATCGCCTCATCGCTCGTCAGGAGGTTCACCTCACTCACACTCGCTCAGACTGGCTAGGATGGCACAGCGTGCGATGCTGAGAGCAGCACAGCAAACACTACGAGCACACACACGCTCTGCCCGGCCCGCACTCGTTCTCCGCCCCTTCTCGTCCTCGACGCAGCTCGACTTCTCATCGACTCGCTCACGACACACTGGGGACGCAGGCGAGCCACTACCGTGGTTCGTAGACCCCTCTACAGCACCCACCTCTTCCCCCATCCCCTCGACAAGCTCCACACTCGCCACCGCCCCCGTCCCAACTCCGCCGCCCTCTCACCTCCCAGCGCCCTTGCACCCCTTGCACGCCTACCTCTCGACCTCTCCCTTCCTCGACAAACACTCGATCAAGTACATCCATGCGCGCGAGGCGGACCCAGCGGGATCGTGGTGTGATTGGGTTGTGGTTGCGAGCTTGAGGGAAGGGAGGGAGAGGGGGTTGAGAGGCGCGATGGACGGCGTCAAGCGATTCGTGCGTGCACCATCACTCCCTCTCACACGCCCACTGACGTTCGGGCGCCGCACAGTTGGCAAAGAACCCCGTCGAGCTCGACTCCCCCTCCTCCTCCCCCGAAGACCCTCTCGAATCCGACCCCGACTCTCCCCCCTCCCCTCCCTCACCCTTCGCGCC